TATATATATATATATAAAACTCGTTATCATCAGTTCATATATCGTGTCTTTAACATCTGACAGAGGGAATAAAATTATATTTTTTATAAACATTCTAATGCGATGACACAAGACAAAAGATGTCCATACCTTTTCTTCCTAACATCACAGCTAAATGCAAAGGTGTGTTTCCTGTAACACACATGAAAGAGTTAAGTATATATATATTTCTGCAGAATTTCAGAATAATTTGCGCAAAATTTGAACAAACAGTTTTTGTTGCAAACAGTTTTTTGTATTTGCATTTCGAGAAATTTAACAAAATCTTTTTGTGGGGTAGTTTTACCCTCTTAAAAAAAATAAAGCAGCACAGATGGAAGATTTTTAGTATGATGGTCAGAGAATCATTCTGGCTAATTCCAGTCAAAATCTCATTATTATACAAGAACTTTCAACTTTCTTTTCATATCTATTGTGGACAATTTTAGAAATTTAGCTATTTTGATCTCTAAAACTATGCCTATGTTCAACTTAAAATTTATCTGAGACTAATGTGTTATTATATAGCATTGTTTGAGATTAACGTTCCATCATATAGCATACATACAATTCGATTTGAAATTCCAGAGCCATGTAAAAATCAACAAAGTTTACAGTCACTCTTCACAAGCTTAACAATAAGTAATATAATCATAACAATCAAAATGAAGTCAAATGTCTCCAAAATGATCATTAAAAATAATTTTTCAATCTTTTTTCAATTTATTTCAACATCAGGCCATGACATTACCATGATTTTGCTTGGGTTTGTTTTTGACAGACTGGACTAACTGGGAAATGATCAACTCCCTTCTAGTATTAAATTTTTGTAAAGGAAGCGAACCTTGTTTATCCTTTTCAGCAATATCATGTGTACCAATCAAGATCTTCAGCGTCTTCACGTCCCCTTGAAATATACATCTGTGAAGCGGATACTCCTCGTTCTCCTGCGCCATGATCATCGGCATCCGAGATCCCTATCATGCGCGTTACAACGGCAGAACTGAACACAAACTTTGACGTTTCGTATTACAACATGTGCCATGCATGACGTCGACGCGGATCATCACGATTACTGACGTTAACAGGTATCACAATGCACGCAAGTCTCGCCCTCCGGCGAGCTTACGACTTGACATGTTGACACTTTTGTTGATATACTTTTACGTAATTGTCATACTTCTTTCCCCTTCTTCTCTTATCTATAATACCTTTATCGACACTTCCTTGTGTTAAACAACAATACTTCCGTAAACTTCAAACCTTGGCGCCTCCGTGAGAATCGCATTCAACATTATGATCGTGCTTGCTCCAATTACGTCTATTCTCAATTCTTCTAAAATTTGTAGCTTCACGTTCCCGTTAGTTACGGAGCACTTGTACGGCCAAATGTAAAATGCGTTTGTGTATGTATGTATATATGTATGTGTATACTTTGAGGCCTAACTGCTCTTCCCAGGCAGGATATCAACTTGGCAGCGTACTCGACGGAGTCACTGCGACGGACGGCCGAATGACAGAATGACAGGTCACAATTTTTAACTCTCGTGAGCCTCGTTACATTTGCTCGCACTGGTGACACGCTCCGTCTCGAGGAACATATTCGGAAAATCGTGCGATCGTGCAACCGAGTATGCGTCAACACACGTTGAAGGAAAAAAAATCGTCCGAGAAAGCTATTCGGCTCATAATATGGCGTTCACTCACCAAACACTCCGGGATATATTCAACGATTGTAACGCGCTCGATGACATTCGGCGCGCGCGTAATTATTATATTTTCTGAAACGTACACGAAAATGTTTTTATGCTTGCGGATAAGCCCGTAACACGACCACACCGGCATTTGCACCTGGTGAGACCTACGATGGCAAAAATCACCGTTCGATATCGCCGCCTACACTCATTTTAAAATTGGCGATAAGCAGCAACGTTCATGAGGATGAACCTACAATACCTACAATTAACCAATTCGTCGGATATTTTGAGAGCTTTTTTTGAAATCCTTGACATAATTTTTCAAAATTGTTATAATAAGTCAAAATTTTTCAGAATTTCTATATAATTGTATTCCTTTTTAAAAAATTTCACAAATTTGAATTGGAACACTTTTCAAAAGAGAAAATCATAGAATTCCTTATACAATATATGTGCGAATTCTGGAATATTCTAAGATTTCTCATTTTATAATTTTTATAATTTTCTATAGCAAACTTGAAAAATTCAAAGACGTTTAGGATATTTTTTTAGAAACTTTTATAAATTTAAAATAAAAAAATATTAAAAATATTACGAGATCATTAAACCCTTGTACACTAGCGTCATCTACATCTATTTTCAAATGATAAACTACGTAGTCACATCTAAACTTAGCCGGTATGTCAGTAAGCCATACAATCTAAAGATATTTAATATAAATTATCCAAATGTTTTATTAAACATAATTAAATATTAAATATAATTAAAAACACAAAAAAATAAATAAAATAATAATGAGGTCTAATAAAAATTTTGTTTTATTGTTAAGCGAGAAGCACAGATTCTTGTATAACGCATAAGAAATGTACCAATTGAAGCCCTTTATTTCCTTCCTTTCTATGAAATAAAAAACTCTGATTGGTTCAATTTCTTATGTCACATGCGTTGTGTGTGTTAAGCCTATTTTACAATGTGTTTCCTATTTCTTGTCTTTTGTTATTTTTTATCTTATTATTGTCATTTTGCTTCTTATCCGGCTTTTTGTTTTAAATTGCCCAAGATAAAAGTTAACGAAAGAAACAAGAAATACGTACTAAAAAATACAATTGTTGATAAAACGATTGCAAAGGAGAAAAAAGCAAAAGGAGTAAAAAACAAGAAACAAGAAACAAAGAGCACATTGTAAAATAGATTTTAAACGTGACGATTTTACGATTTTGTTTATTATGTTTGTATATTACGTTAGATACATTTCGAAAGAAATGAAACTAGTATCTGAAACTAGTATGACATCAATAAATAAAAAATGAGTTTTATCTTCGAGTTTAATAAATAAAATTAATAAAATTAATTAATCACTGGAAGATGTTGGTACCAAGTGCTTAAAAAAAGATGTTGAATATATTCTTCTTAATCAAAAACGTATATGAAATAAATGTAATTATATATTAGCTATTAGTTATACTTAGCCAAGTATTTCACGCAAGACAAATAAGATAGATTAAAAGTAAATAATAAAAAACGGATAAATATTTATACAAAAAAATCATGTGAAAATAAATTACTTGAATATTGAAAGGAATAGGAAAGGAAGAATAAAAATTTAAAGAGTCATCCACATTCTATAAAATCTGCAGAATTTTATACAAAGAATTAAAAATGAAAATATAATATTTATTTAATATTATTTTTTGATTAAATACATTTCTTAAATGATATATTGCTAGTTTTAGAAAGAAACTTTTTCGGTACGAACAGCATACGTAAAAGTATCTATTATTAATAAGGAATAACACTTTTCTATTATATAAAAAATTTGCTGGTTAGTTAATTTAATATTAATTTTTTTTTTCAAAAAATGAGTATCATATATAATTTGAAAGTAAACAAATAAAATGTTTTTAACAAGAAAGTATTAGACACAGATTAATTTATCATCGATTGTCTACAAGTCATTATCAAATTTCTGAAGTACTTCTATTAAACGATCGTATAGTAGGGTTTTAACATCAATGGCCCATAAAAAATCCAAATGGGTAAACAATTTATATTGATTTTCCTCCAACAGAATTACATTCGGCAGGTGCTTATATGTTTCGAGGACATTCTGGGAACAAAAATATGGAAGACTATGAAATTATTCCGAGTGAACATCGGACAGTGATAGTTTAAAACCTATATTTCATTATAAAAAACTATAGAAACAAACAAAATTTATTTCAAAGATAAAAAATGGCACTTTTAGTGTAGACAAAACTAACAAAATTAAATTTCTTTAACCGCAATACTATTCAATATGACCAAAATTGTTATTTTTTGCTGATCCCAATTTTTCGGAAATGTGATGTGATAGAATTTTTCTAAACACACGAATTCAAATCCAGCAGCCAAAAATCTTCGAGAAATAACACTTCACACATGCCAAAGAAGTCATATTTTATTGGACAGTGTAATATGAAAAGAAAATTATGCGATTCAATCTTTTAGAATTTCAAAGTAATCTAAATTATTTATAAAGAAAAAAATATTTTCCATGATTTTTTTATAACTATACTAGTTAATCGAATATTAGTTAATTGCGAGATAGTATACTAGTTTAAATTAAAATCTTTCCTTTATTCGTTTTCTTGGCTATCTACTTATTCGATTTTTACATAAATTAGTTGTATAAAAATAATTTGTACAAATAAATTTCTTGCTACAAATATGTTATACTGGGTGGCCTCGAACATTCCAGATAGACCGTGAGGTTTTATAAGAAATTTAATTCCAAACAAATTTTTTATAAAACAAGTTTTTTAAACATGCGTCGAAAAATACTTCCTTAACAAGTTAATCGCTCAAAAACCTCTGAAATCATGATTATTTTATACATTTTTATAGATATAAAATCTAAAAAAGCAATATCATGGAATGTATGCGTTTTTTATCAAAAAGTACCGACAAAAAGTTGTCAGATAATTAAATTTTTTATAAAATCTCAAAGTCTGGCTATGTGGAACATTCAGGACTACCTTGACATATAAATAATTGAAAAATTTTTTTTTCCGATATATATTTTTTAATTAAAAGATGTTTTTATACATATAAAATTCAAAAGTGATCTTACCGATTTTAAAGCAACCATATCGTTAGCACCGTAGAACAAAGCTAAGGGAGTAGTAATTTTTTTTAAATCATACGTTAGAGGTGTCTGCTCATATTGCTTGTAACTGTCAGCATATTCATAATCGTAAGTTTGAAATTTCTCTGCAATAATTAATTTTATTTTTTCACATAAATATGGAATTGAAATTAAGAGATTAAGAAATTCGCAAATTTGTTATTTTTATCTAGATAAACATAAAATGTCATGTAACTGTAAACAACGTGCTTATAATAAATACTGTAATATTGTAATATTAATACTGTAATATTAATACTGTAACTAATAAATCAAACTGTTATAATGATTTCATTAATAAAATTATATCAATCTTATTAAATTGTTAAATTATTATATCATTTATTATATTATTAAATTATAAACGAAATAAAAATAAAAACTGATAATGTTAAACAATATTTCAGGTGTTCGATGCACTTTTTTTTCTTTATAAATAACACAATATGACAAAAATCGATTTTTTTCTTCCCATGAAAAATTCAAAGAGATTCTGAAAGTAGATGTTAGGAAAGTATACCCGTGTCTCTTTACTGACTTCGACATTGTCGCGATCTAAACAAAGCATCGAAATTTTTCTGGACAATAAAAAAGCCGACAATTACAAAAAAATTGTTGCTGAAATGATTTCAGCTTTTCATGCAATAAAAGTTAACATGTCGCTTAAAATACACTTTCTTCACAGTCATTTGGATTTTTTTTCACCAAATTTGGGTGAATTCAGTGATGAACATGGTGAACGCTTTCACCAAGACATTGCGATCATTGAAAACCGCTTCAAAGAAAAAGACATCAGACACATGCTTGGTGAATACTGTTGGTTTATTGTTCGTGATACAAAACGGGAATCATATAAATGACAAATCAAACGACCAAGATTCTTATAATAATTATAATTATAATTGTATTGTTATTATTATAAAAATTTGAAAATATATGAAAAAAAAGTAATTCTTAGTTATTTTTTTTTGTATTCGGACTTATCCTATAATTTCACATGCAAGAAGGTCAATTATTTCTTTTAAAAAATTATTATAATTTAAAACAATTGTAAAAAGTCAATATGATAAATGAAGCAAATATGATAAATGGCTGCATAAAAAACGTTAATGACTTGATCTGGTAAAAGGCCGAGATACGGATATTTTTTTTTACATCTATGTTCAGAATCTCTTTGATTTTTTTCACAGGAGGGAATGTGTGTTGTAATATAATAGTGTAATATAATAGTTTTCTTTTTTATATATATATTTGAAGCAAAGAAAAATACTTACTTGTAACTATATTTTGGACATAATGTTCCAATGTTCGCACGGAAGCGCCGTTCGGATAATTCGATAATATTTCCGGCAATGCCGTCTGCAACGAAAGGTTTTATTAAAAACAATTTTAATTTATTATAAAAACATAGAAACTTCATTTTGTAATTTTTATAGTTTTTAAAAAAAGCAGTGTTACAATTTGCAAAATCATGCTAAATTGAAAATGTACCTACAGTATTGAATTGCTCTGGATCAAATCCGAAGAGTAGAAATATTATTGCAACGCAGACAATCTGAGTAATTGCCTTATCTGTACACAATGTTCTTCCCACCGTGATGCTCGTTGACGATAAGGAGGCCAGTTCATATATTTCATTAGAATAAAGAAATTCCTAAACAAAAATGAAATATGCAAATATTGAATTGTAATTGGAACTATATAGCATATAATATAAATAAAGAACAAATGTAATATTGTAATAATTATATATTAATTTTCACAAAATGTGGAATGATAAAGTGATATTTTAATGAGAGTCAATACGTATAATAATTAAAATGAACAAACTATGTAGTTGAGACCAGAGATGAAAGTAACACGGAACGAATGCAACTTTGTAAATATAACTGAAACAAATAAACGAATTGAAACATGTTCTAGCATGTGACTTATGTTGATTTCACTTTACTTCAGTTATGAGCGAGACGTTAAATTGAATGGTTATTTGTATAGTGCGTTTGTGGTGAAGAATCACATTAAAAATAACACTTTAATCTCTATTATTTTTATAAATATTTTTAATTTTATTCACCTTTTATTCACCTTTTAATTGTTTATTATTATTTTTCTTTTTTATCATTTATATATCGATATTAAAAAATTTATTTATGTTTAGTTTTTTTTATATATGACACATTTCTAAATAAATCTAAAGAAATTCTAAGAACATTTTAAAAATAATACTTCAGTATTATTAGAAAAAGGATAAAAAGCAAGAAAATAATTCAGTGTATGGAATGTCAGCAACGTGATTGTCAAAAAAGGATTTTGCTTCGTTTATCTTACTTATTGAAAAAATCAATTTCTTTTCTTTTCGTATTTCAAAAATCTAATGAAATTAAAATATGCTTTTAAGTTTTAAGTATTAATTCAAATAACACGTCTTCATACTCGTTTGCTCCTCTACTCTCTTGCCTTATTTAAAGAAATGATCACTTATTATAATTATAAATTTAATTTAATTTTTACAATAGATTATTATTTAAAATATCACACATAT